AAATGACGTTACATACGAGGTTGATGCATTTGTGCATGTCGTACTAAGCAAGGTATAAAAACAGTTGCTTTATGAGGAATTAGTTCGTACCATTGAATATTTGACGCAATAGACAAGGTGTCGCAGAAACCGATGTTGCTATAACCAAGTTCTACTGTATATAGTTTTGTTCTTCGTTTCATTATGAATATTTCTGTGAAAATTTTATCTCAATATACCTATTTTTGCGAGAGTTACTAAGTTTTTCATGGATAAGAGAACTTTTCTGTTTAATTAAATACCCCGTCGGTTTGGCGGTAGGAAAAGATTTAAATACTATCCGTCGCGGAAGGGTTAAAGTACAGTTGCCTTATGCCTTGGCAACAAGCCATCAAAGATATAGGAGGCATAACAATATTCCATGCATCTACATTTTGTAACTATACAGAAATCACTTCATACCCTGGGAAACAGCCCTCAGTACCAAGTGAATAAGAAGTTGTGTGGAATTTCAGTTATCCACTCTGTACCCAGTCACATTACTAAGCTAACATGGCTTATTTTAAGAAGTTCATGAAGGAATGAATCAGGTCAAAATTTATCTTATACTTCTATCACACTCATTATAATGGCAAATAATCTAAGGACGACAGTTGTACATATCACAAGAATGCACAGAATGTTGAATGAATGCAGCTCTTATGGTTAGGATGGTTTGGCCATCCCTGTTATGTTGCATATATTACCTTGGAAGGGGTTCTTTATCCCAATTTTTAATCCACAGCGAACCTTCGTTGGCAGCCCTCGTAATCTTGCCCTTCAGTATTATCTCTACCTGGTCCTTGTCCACATTCTCCACACATTTTGCATAACAACGATTCACATAATTCCTGAAAGTACGGTTATCACAGTATATGAATGCATCCATAATTTTCTTCAATTAAAAAGTATTCATCCAGTTCAGTCTGCATATACAGAAACAGTTTACTGAAATGGGAAAATTCCATGATGCTATAAACTTTGTCGTAACATAGTTATCACCCTAAAACATGTGAACACCTTCTAGGAGTTACTGAAATATATAAAAACTCTGTAAAAAAAAAAAAAGTAAAGGTATCCCCTTGACAGGCCATGGAGGCCCCCACATTTTCTATACAACTGGCTCACAGATGGCGGTGAGGTTGTCAGCCTTACAGGCCGGCTGCCCTTTACCTCCAGGAATATTGCAAGAATATTCCTGGTACTCATTTCTGTTAGAGGCTGAGTCGACCCCAGGACCATAGTGCGGCTGGAAGAATTAGGTAAATTGAAAAAATCCACCTCATCAGGATTCAATTCCACGACCTTCCAGCTTGTGGCATCGTGCCTCAACCAACTACATGACATTCCAAATTATCAATAATCACAACAGAGCCGACTGCCTTATGAAGAAAATTCTGGCAACATGTCATTTACTTTTGGAACCGTGCACAAACCACCACAGACTTAACTGGATAAATCCCTTATTTAAAGATACATATTATATAGATATAAGAAAAGAGAAACCAGGGCATCAACCTCTTAAGAATGAAAATTCACACCACAAATTAACAAGTTTTAAAACGTATCCATGATTACAATGTGAAGGTTATTACTCATACTTACTTGAGGCCCTCTGGCCAATCACCAGAGGGATTGAATGAGGTGGCGGGGGGTGTCAGTAAAGTTTTCTGCTGCACTTGTGAATTGCTTACAGCAGCCGAAGCACGTTCTTCCAGTGTCTTTGTTGTGACAGAAAACGGTGTGTCAGTACTCGTTTCCATAGGTTTCATTATATGGGCCTGATCAGTTACCTCATCTTTATTTGGGTCTTCACTTGGTGGGGCAGGTGGAGCCGGTTCCTGTGGAAGTGGCGGAAGTGGTGGAAAGGGAGGTGGGGAAACTTCTGGTGGCAGGGGAGGTAGATGTAAAAACACTGGACTATTCCCAGCCATGGAATTGTTGAAGCTATTATTGAACTGGTTATTTTTATTCTTCTTGCGTTTCTTCTTATTTCCGCCTCCATTGTTGAATGGTTTGAAACCAAGGCCAGTCTTCTTGTTCGCAAGATTGAACTTGACTGGGTTATAAGCTGCAATATATGACAGGACAATTACAATATGCTAGAACTTCCTACAAAAAGAAGGAAAACTGCATTTAAGAATACTAAAAACCAGATAATACTTAATTTTGTATTTCTGATTTCTGTTTGTGTTGATGAATATTCACATCTTACTGCCGGTCAGTTATAATCAGTGCTGGACATTCAAAAATTCACTCAAAACACTTACTGTTATTAGTTTGGCCATAAAACTGAGGCCTAAGAGGAGAAGTACCAGGAGGCGTTGGAACTGCGTAATTATGACCACTTAAGGGAGGAGGTGGTCCAGGAGGAAGAGGTGGCAGCTCATTACAATCTGAGTTCTTGTCATTTGGATCTGGTTGATTATTCGAACAAGCATTGTTCTGGTGGTTGAAATCTGAAAATACAGAAAAATTATGGCCAAAGAGTATAACTCTGGAGTTCAAATCACAGTTTCTGAATAAAATCACATTCCAGTACATACCTGATGGGAAGGCCTTGTTGGGCATTGCATGATTCATACTCTGCACTTGAGGGACATTCTGATTATTTGGCCCATTCAGACCTTGTGGGCTATTTGGATTAAAGCCCATTCCCTGTAAAGGCAAACATAATATAATTAACAAATGATCTGGCAGCATAGGTTCTGAGAAGTAAAGTTGCTTTGAACTGCAGCTCATATTCAAAGCAATAATTCAGACCTAAATTTTTATTCCCAATACAGTCCAAAATAACGACAAAACAACAGACACACATGTGCCACAATGATATCAAGCACAGCGTTACCTGAAGTCTAAAGTAATGCTTACCGAATAACCATAAAAGTACTGCCCTGGATGACCATATCCATTGTGTCCATAAGGTTGACTAAAATTAAACAGAGTATTAGTAATAATGCAGATAAAATTTATTTACAGATTTATCTTAATCACTAAGGTGAAGCCAGTTATGCAAATACATATTTTAATCAAACCTTTAAATATGATTTAAATTTCTTCGGGGCACTTCAGACATTATACTTACTTACTTACTCATGGAGCTGAGCCCTTCTGGAGGAGCCACCAATTCTGCAGCTACTCAAGAATTTCCCAGCATTTTATGGAACCCGAAGGTTCATTACCATGTTCATAAGAGCCCTCCACTAGTTCCTATCCTGAGCCAGATCAATCCAATCAATCCCATCCCATCCTATCTCTCTAAGATAAATTTTAATATTGCCCACCCACCTATGCCTTGGTCTTCCCGGTGGTCTCTTTCCTTCTGGCTTTCCCACCAATATCCTATACGCATTCCTCGTCTCTCCCATTCATCCTACATGCCCTGCCCATTTCATGCTCCTACGCTTCTTGATTATTATAATTATACTTGGAGAAGAGTACAAGTTATGAAGCTCTTTATGCAGTTTTCTCCAGTCTCTTGTCACTTCATCTCTCTTGAGTCTGAATAGTCTCACCATCCTGTTCTCAAACACCTTCAGTCTATGTACCTACCTTAATGTCAGAGACCAAGTTTCACGCCCATACAGAACCACAGACAAAATTATAGTTTTGTATATTCTAATTTTTATGTTTTTGGACAGCAGACGAGAAGACAAAAGGTTCTGAACTGAATGGTAGCAAGTGTTACCCAAGTTCAATCTCCTCTTAATTTCCTCCTGGTCAGGTTTTGATCTGTTATCGGTGTTCCCAAATACGTGAATTGTTCCACATTTTCAAAATATCTGTTTCATATCTTTATATCATGATTTTGCCATGCATTATGGTGATGAGACAGCAACATGTACTTAGTTTTCTCAGTGTTTACTTCTTGACCAACCTCTTTAGTTGTGTCAATTAAAGTTTGTGTGTTTTTCTTTATGGTATCTACATTATCACCCAGTGGATTCACATCATCGGCATAGACCAACAGCTGATGTGTCCCGTTTAATTTCAGTCCCACCTGGTTTCCCTGGACCTTCCTAATGGCATATTCTAAGGCAAAGTTGAAAAGGAGATGCGATAAAGCATCTCCTTGTTTTAGACCATTCTAGATAGGAAATTTATCAGACAAATGTTTACCTACACGGCCTTTACTATACATTTCGTTTAAACACATTTTAATCAACGTAACTAGTTTCATGGGTATCCCAAACTCTAACAGATTTTTGTACAATACTTCCCTCCTAACTGAATCACAGACTTTCTTGAAGTCTATGAATAGATGATGTACTGTCTCATTGTACTCCCATTTTTTCTCCAATATCTGACGAATGCAAAAGATCTGATCTGTAGTTGATCTGTTACGTCAAAACCCTTCTGATGATCCCCAATAATTTCATCTATATATGGACTTAACCTTGAAAGAAGAATATTGGACAAAATTTTATATGAAGTTGATAGCAGTGATATCCTCCGATAATTACTAGTCAGTTTTATCACCCTTCTTGTGAACTGGTACAATAATAGACTCCTTCCACTGATCAGGCAATTTTTCCTTATGCCAAATAGAAGTAATAAGACGGTGGATCTTAGAACGTAATATTTCGCCTCCTGCTTGAATAAGTACTGCCAGAAATTGATCACTACCTGGCGATTTATACCATTTCAATTTTGCAACAGCACTTTGAACCTCAAATGGCTAGGATCAGGTATTAACAGCTCAGCTGTATGGATTTCTGTCTGCCTAACAGCACTGACCCTATGTACATTCAAGAATTGAGAGGCGTAGTTCCTCCACCTATTCAAAATGTTGTGGGAATCTGCAAGCAGATCACCATTCTCATCCTTCACTAAGTTACTGCTAGGCTGGTAACCCCTCTTAAAGTCATTTATTCCTCTATACAGGTCTCTAATGTTCTTGTTCTTACTGTTCACTGCAAGCTCTTCAATTTTGTCTTTCAGAAATTCCCTCTTTTTGTTCCTGAAATGCCTGCTGGTTTCAAGTCTTATATTGTTCAAATTATCCCCATTTAACTCACTGGGATCCTCATATATTATACACTTTCTCATATATTACAGGCATGCCGGTATTCAAACCAAAATAAGCTTATGAAATATAAAGTACTGCCTAATGTCTGACCATACTCAATTCAACCCCAAACTGAAGACATTTCACCATAAAAGCAGAACTACTCTTATGTACAACAAATATCTAAGAGTGCTGAATTATGACCTGCATAAACAAATGGAAATGAATATAAAACTATCATGTTATCTCTGAAACTGTTATTTTAAACCTGGATGTACACACCTGAGTGGAAATGACAAATTTCAGCTGATGCCCTGCTGTTTATAAAGCTTTAAATGTAAATCTTGCAGACATTTTACATTTGTAAATGCTGTGATCTCTTCACAGCCCATCAGAAACACTCCTGATATATCAGACACTATCATACCTACATTAAAATTTACACTTTATTATAATACTTCAATTCTTACCTGGCATAAGGGGCATAAATTCCATACGGTGGAGGATACTGCCATGGGTTGGCAAGCAGTTGGTTTTGGCATTTGTCTCCCATTGTATTCACTTTGCATGAAAATACTATTACTGAAAGCAATTTTAGGTGAAATTTCACATACACTGAAATGGAAAAATATTTGGTTATGGAACTGCTACAAGATTAGTTTTATTATAATATATAATTATAATAATAATGTTATTTATTATTGCAAAACGCCTAATAAAAATTGTAAATGTACGTACAATCACAGTAACACCAAGGTCTCTATCTTTTAGACTGTTATCAATGAAGTTGCTGAATGTAAAAGAATGGCAATACGAGACGTGAAACCGAAGTCCATATGCAACTGTATCCTTCGTTTTAACTGAAAAAAAAAAAAAAACTCGCTAATACCGTCTTGCAAGAAGTTACGTTTTACCACAATTTCTTAAACGCCTATAAATGATTTAATTACAACGGCATAACAAATTCGAATGAATGTATACCTTACACCTCTATGACAACTCACAAAGCCTACTAGCTTACGAACAGAGACCTTTTCTATAACACAAAATGTCGAAATACTTTCAAAGCATCGCCATTTTGCTACTCTCTAGATACGCCCGAAATACTACATTAGAAAACTATATATCCATTAACAGTTCACACTACACCCGTTTTGCTTCAAAATGTTTTCACCTTTTACTACTACATTCAGTTATGGTGAATTGCAATAGTGTACGGATAAATTTATATTACGAACTAATCGCTTCCACCTTCTATACACGACAATACCTAACAACACATTTAATCTCCTAACACTATTGCCAACATAAATCTGCAAAAATTCCGATCTCGGACCTGCTTGGTAACACGGAGAGCGCCACCGGTATGTAAAGTGTGGTCAAATAATATGAATAACGAACGAACATTTAGAAAAAACATCATCCTAACGCTATAGTAACCGTCACGACCGTCACGACCAGGGGGATGTAACTCAATGCTATTGGCGGGCAACATAATCGCCGTGACGTCATGAAGCATCACTGCTGCCGCGGTGGCCAGCTGCAATTCTCATTATAAAAAAAAAAAGCTACAGGCAGTGCCGAGGGCTCGGTCGGTAAGAATGTATGCTATCATACCACCTGCCCTGTCGGTAAGAAAGTATGCCATTATACCACCAGATTTTTTTAATGCTCACTCCCAAAAAAATCACTGGTTCACACATATAGCTAGAATTAATAATTATTAATTAATAATTAATTAATTAATAATTAATAATTATAATTGATGTAAATGAAATGTCCATATTTTACAGGCACTGGTGGGAAACTTTCTCCAGATAAATAATGTTGCAACCCGATATCTTGTACTGCAGAGGTTCTTACTCCGGTGTGTGTTTTCTGTTTTCAAACTTCGCTCAAAACCATCTGGAGGGGAATGAGTTAAATGATATCAAACTCAGTTCGAAAACAGAAAACACACAACAGAGTGAGAACCTCTGCAGTACAAGATATCAGGTTGCAACATTATAATGTTGCAACCTGGTGAGAAACTTTCTCCCGATAAATAATTATTTATCGGGAGAAAGTTTCTCACCAGTGCCTGTAAAATAAGAACATTTCATTTACATCAATTCAACACCCCCTTGCTGAATTACAATGGATATTTGAACTATAACATATATAGCATACTTGTGTTTAGGAAAGCTGATGGTGGGTCACGGCGATACTCCATCCTCTGTATGCAATTAGCATGGTAATATTAATACTGTATTACAATCTTATTAACTTTACAGGCAAAACTATTATTGTACAGATATTATGTATTTGTACTTGACTTGTTGAACATCCTATAGTGTCCGCCTGTATCTGGATTTACGGAAAGTAAAAAGCATTAATAAAATTCAAACACAGCCACTACGCCAACCTCGCCCTCTACATTCTCTACATATACATGTACATGAAGTGTAGACCTTTCAGCCATGTTTTCCATATGACTGTTCTTGGCTGTTGCCAGAAAAGCAGGAGACTCATTCCACTCTGCAGATCCAGTCTTTGGATGAAGTTCGCTCAGTGTTTAAAGAAATGAAGCAAGAATTGATGCCCCTTACACACACACAACAAAACATAGATGGTTTCCACGCCTGAGATACCCGCGCAGATAGAGAATATTTATGAAATTTTATAGTAACAGTTTCTACCAAGATGCATTTTCAAGTCTGAGAGAGTAGAAGTTTGTTAGTACCCCAAACGTGTACCTAAATTGATAGGAGCTGGTAGACACTAGAATGAATCATGTAAATCACTGGTTTTGTTTCTAATTTACAGCATGTTGAGAATGCAGAGCTATTGGCTGCCCCAAAATTCAGTTAACTGCTTAGTAAAATGTACTTTAAAATACATTAGAAAATTATTTATTACTTACAGAATTTACAAAAATTGTTCAAAACATAGAACCTCTATGTTGAATATGAAACTCACAGTGCTGTGATACCTATGTCTGAATTGACTGACCAGTTTAAATCTAAGCATCTCATTAATTCAAGATACTGTCTTAGGTTAGTGGACTTCTGGCCACACTGTATATTTAATGTGGTATGAATTTCAGCATTCCTGCCAAGAGTCAAGCTAGTTCTTACCACAACTCTATCCTGCTGTAAGTGAAGTTACAGTGCAGCAACTGTTTTCTAGCATGAATTAATTGCTTTTTAGAACATTACTATTAATTCGTTATTTATTAAAAATAAGTGCTTCTTTATTGTCAATGTTTCACCTTCATATACTAGCCTGATGATTGAATTTCTATTCGTTCAGTTATACTAGGCAAGTGAGCTATATTCTGACACTCTTTAAGCTATGGAAATTTATAAATATGTTTGTCATTGCAGAACACTGCAGATTTGACAGAAGTTAGTGTACTGCAGTCACCAGATCATATGAGCTCTCTTTCAAGTGCAAGAGGAATGCTGGCTGCCATGATGCAGAGTGCTTGTGCTGCTTCATTCATTTAACAGGACTGAGCAACGGAGCTTTGAGTCAGTGTTTCTGTTAGGTAGATAACAGAAGAACCAACACAGACAGTATACAACGAACTATTGAAGGAACACATTTCTTAGACATTTGTAGCTGTTAACAGATTAAGAAGAGCAGCAAACATGTTTTAGAAGACAGAAAAAACTTTATAATCCCAAACAATAGGATACTTTATTGGTCAGATATTGTAAGAAACAGGTTAAGTGTGTGGTATTGTCAAGTTAAACAGAAGGCTGGAAACCATGTAAATCATGGAATAAATAAATGCCTCTGCCACAAACAAACTAAACCGAACGAGAGACCGCTGCTTGTCAGCGAAGTTTGTGACAGCTTTTGAGGATAAAGGGTGTCACATGGTTAGTGCAATGGATTCCCATGACCATTAATCTTGGTTTTCTAGAGCGGGGCATAAATAAATATATTGTCATAATTAGGGACACTGAGTTTTATCATTAACTTGTCTGCTACAGGGGTAGGAGTGATAATTTCTGAAATCTGTGAAGGCCATCATAAATGGTATATAGCAAGAGCTACTTTAGTTTTGCATAAAGTAATTACAAGAATAATTTTCATTTCATGCATCCAGCCATGTGTTTGCCTGATGATGGCTATTAATAGCCGAACCATGTAGCAGAGCCAAAACTAGGCACTGATCTTGATATTAGTTGTCTTGTGATGGTTGTAATAAAGAAGTTGTAATTACAATAATATTAGTTATCTCAAAATGAGTGACAAACTCAAACGATGATAGAACACAGAATGATGCTAATAATTCCACTGCTACAAAGGGGAAATCATCACTGGAGATCTGTCAATAAGTGGACCAGTGACCAGTGGAATGATCACCACAGTCCCCTGAATTTACACTCTTAACTTTCACCTGTGAGACAATTGTTCCAGACTGTACAATATATTGTAACAAATGATTCTGAAGTAAGATATGTGAATTACACACATGCCCACACGCAACTAAGGAATGTGACAAAAGACGTTCACAGCCTTCAGTACCACCTTTACACACACATTATATACAAACTAGCACTAATAAAATCCATTTGAGGTAAATTATATCAAATGTTCCCTGAGTACAGTCTCTACAGCACAGTTTATTATGATCTTACATTATAAGGAATAAATTGGTAGAATAGCAGGGAGGAGAACGGTTAAACAACATCAAAGTGAAAGTGGCGGTGAGGTACGAGATTCTCAGCTTTTACACATGCAGTGTGTGTTCATTCAAGACACACACATGCACACAAATTTAAAAAAAGAGGTATTATGAAAATAATCTCTTGACCACCTAGAACAGACATCTGTATTGCTTTAGGCTGTTACAAAAGCAAAAATATGCCTGAAAAGGTCTAATCATAAGCAAACAGGAAGAAACACTTGGAATGGAATGGTAAAATAATTCAGTCAGAATATGGAAGATTTGAAGCTTTCACAGCTTAAAAATATGCTAAAATCTTATTGGGCAATCAGTCATCTCAGTGTTGAGTTAAAAGCCAACATTTCAGAGATCTCCACCTTCAGGGTTGATGTGGTGAAGTACCACAAACCGCTGATATATATATATATGCCAATCTGTGGAATCACTGACTCATACTCTTGGCATGCGATGCAGCAGGAGATTGGAGTCAAATTGGGTAGCCACCCATCTGACGCTAACCTATCACCACGTCATTTAAACTGGTGCCCCCGTTGTCAATTACTGTGCCTTCTTTTCATAATCTTCCCTGAATTTGCCTGCTTGGGATTTTCTTGGCCTATGCATGCCAGAATGCTCTAATGACATCGTGATGGGACTCCATTCTCTGCTAAGTTTGAACCCTTGGTCATTAAAGAAGTGACAACACAATCTAAGGTAAATATTTTATTATTTAAATTTCAGAACGTATACAAGACATACTAAGAACATGTTGCAAGAATAAACAAAATGAATAAATTTATTTAACATAGAATCTTTTTTTTAACAAAATCTGAGGTAAATATTTTATTATTTAAATTTCAGAACGTATACAAGACATACTAAGAACATGTTGCAAGAATAAACAAAATGAATAAATTTATTTAACATAGAATCTTTTTTTTAACAAAATCTGAGGTAAATATTTTATGACTTAAATCTTAGAACATACAAACAAAATACCAGAAACATGTACAAGAATAAACAAAACAAATTAAATTTATTTAAATGCAGAGTCTTTCTTCCAAATGAGTAAGGTGCTCAACCTGCATTGCCATGGCACAGAGGGCATGTGGTGCCATACTGCAAACAAAAGATGCAACAGGTAAATAACATTTTTATTCTAACAAAGGTATACTTAGGGGCTAACAACATGGCAGTTAATTATAAACTGATAATAAAATGTTCATGTTATTTTACCTTCATCCCACTACACGTTTAGATCAGTTTAATATCACTTTATAATTGATTGTTGTGCTGACAAATATAACCTGAATTTGATTTGGTTCATCCTGGTCTGTCACACTAGCAATATTATAAAAGGTTATCAACTCCATCCAGTGTGGCTGATTTTTTTTCCCCCTTTCCTTTTTAATCTTTCATCCTTCACATGTTTCGGTCTTCAGAAGGATACATCAATACAAGCGGAAACTACTATTACAATGTGATTGGTCAATATCAATATATACATACAATATCATTACAATGTCATGAATATAATATCTGATCAATTAACAACTACAGCGATGTGCATGAATTATTAAAATAATTTATTTACAGACATGGTTTAGAAAGACTTTGTTAAAATTTAGAACCAATTTGGTTCGTGTCCATTATACTGCTTCTCTTTAAAGAAAGCTGAGTGTCTACCGCGTCGTGGTTCCGTTGTTTGATACATAGGACTCTTGAGTGTCCTCCTGTCGTTTGGGCTGTGCTGACATTGTAATGATATTGACCAATCATATTGTAATAGTAGCAGTTTCCGCTTGTATTGATATATCCTTCTGAAGATGTTCTCTCTGACCGAAACATGTCAAGGACAAAAGATTAAAAAGGAAAGAAAAAAAAAATTTATCAGTCATACTGCACGGATTGGGTAACCTTTTATAATAACCTGAATATTAAAAGTTTTAATATTGGTTTGCAATTAACTACAGTATTGTGCTGACGGCCCCTTTGATACATGATATGCAACATAATACAGAAAATGAAAAGATTTTTATATTACATTCTGTATCACTGCATCCCTATTCAGAACATATGTATACATTGGTCATACATGATCATATGCTTATGCAAACATTCTCGTTTTCCACTAGAGACTTCATTTACCAACAATCCACATCTTTTTAATGACATGCTTTCTGTACCTAGCCTATATAGCATTGGATGGTAGAAAGTGACTAATAAATGAGGTACTATCCCAGCATTTCCCTGGAGGGGCTGAGAAAAACCATGAGAAAGTCAGGACAGCTGGAGTCCTGGCCAAGACCTGAAATGAGCACTTCTGAGATAGAAGTCTGGAGCATTATCTGCATTATCTCTAGAAAAGGGGCTCTCAAACTATGTGATACCATGACCCCCTAAAATAATACATGAATTTATGGGAACCCCACTGTGCCAGTGAGGATGAAGTTGCTGCAACAGGGAACTTGAATAGCTGTACTGCCTCTCTGTACCTACAGACAGATACAGACACACTGCTGTTGGCAGATGCACCTGCTCACAAACTCAGTGTATGTTACACTCTGTAGGTTAACACATATGTACATATTACTAGGTGGTTCAAATATGACCGGGACTGATTAAAAAAAACACAATTGCCAGACACTTACTTGCACATGTCAGCCTTCAACGTACTCCCCCCTGGAGTCAACACATTTTTTCCAAATTTCTGGAAGCATCCTGATGCCCCCCCTCAAAAAAAAAAGACTTGTGGCTGGCAGCATATCCACTCCCGAACAGTCTGGATGACGGCATCGTTGTCCACAAACCACATGCTTTGCAAGTCAGATTTGAGCCTTCCGAACAGGTAGAAATCACTTGGGGCCAAATCGGGACTGTACGGCGGATGTGTCAGAAGGTTCCATTTCAATTTCCGAAGGGTTTCCATTGTTGTTTTGGCCATATGGGGGCGTGCATTGTCTTGAAGGAAGGTTACCTGCTTTCCACCTGTCTTCCACTTGGATCGGATCTTACTCCAAGTTCCTTGATAGTGATGTGCCTATTCTCACGAATAAGCACGTCTGCATGATCAATGTTCGGTTCGGTGATGGATGTTCGTGGCCAACGATCATGCGGTTCATTCTCCACATGCTCTCTGCCCTCTCTGAAGCACTTACGCCACTCAAACACACGGGTTCGTGAGAGACACTCTTCCCCATACTGTTGTTGGAGTCTGTGGTGAATTTCAGTGGACTGGACGTTTTCTCCAGTGAGGAATTTGATCACAATATATTGTTCCATGCTCCGCAGTCCCTTCTGTTCTCTCATCACTCTAGCAACTTCCAGACAGGACTGAACAGGTTCTAACCCTAACAGGAGGGAGGGTGGAGGTTGTGGCTTCACACTCTCAAGGTCACACAGCTGCTGCACAGTGCGCCTTGTTTACAAAAAAATCAGTCCCGGTCATATTTGAACCACCTTGTATCATAACAGAGACAACCCTGAAAATGGCCTAAGAGCTGAAACATGGGCTTTTTGTGCATATGGATATCATCATTATGATCAGTGTATTCTGATGCTTCTGGTATATGCAGGTACTGAAGGGAACAAAATGTATCTCATTTCCTGCCATGCCATTATACTAGGATTCCACCTGCACCACAAACTCCAGATTTTGAACTTACTACATTCAAAATGGAAGTGGATGAGAACACGTAGGAAAACTTAATTCAAGGGAAATTAAATGGGGGCTGTATACACCTGAGGACTATTCAGAAATTAACCACCATTAATTTTAGGCAACTAAAAGCAGGAGAAAGCTCACACATGCAAGGTAGCATTACATGACTCATTGCCTTTGTTGAGGAGCAAATTTGGGATTGAAAAGTTAAGTCATTACCTAGGTGCCTGGAGACTTGCGAAAAGTGTTTTGCAGTGAAAGAGCAAAGATGACAACACATGGACACGCAATTAGGTTAAGAATGCGATAATCAGCATT